CAGCACCGTCACTCTGTAAAATGCAACAGCACGTGTGTCACACAGCATTTCTCCCGAATCGCCATTAACCATCTCACTGGTTTACACGTGCGGTTATTCATAACAGTTTTCTCTTAAACCCAATTCTACTACTGATAAACCATCTTTGTTTTTGACAATCACATTTGCACATCACTATTCGAATATTCCTTTAATCCTAAGCTGTATGTCGATCTATACCATCCACTTAAATCGGTATCTTACACCCATTATATGTACTGTATGTGTACAGTATAGTACTGTATGTCACCATTGTACAGCTTACTACTTTACTTGTTATATTCTAAATAGCATTACAAGTAGTCATACTCTGGGTACATGGGCATGGTTATAGACTAAACAGTATTAGAGTTAGAGAATTACAATAACAGTAGGTAATTACAGTGCATCGTCCTGACAATGCACAGTGCTAAAACGCCTCTAATTGCATATATCACAAACGAACAATTCAACGCCAAGCTTAACGTATAGAACAAGTCTAGAACATTTATATAACGATCAAAAACAACCTTTGGGTCCTTTACCTATAAAATGCAACAGCACGTGTGTTACAAACAGCATTCCTCCCGAGTCGCCGTTAACCATGTGACTGGTATATCCGCGCGGTCATTCAATAACCCTGCCAGCCACCTACAGGCCCGGCTCAGTCATCACATGCTGCTGTACACACATGCATTGATGCACTGCACAGCACATCAGGACTTTCACAGAACCACACTTTACTCCCTTGCTGCACAAGGATAAAATTAAAAGCGTCATCCATTTCTAATGTGCCACACGTGCCTCGACCCGGGGCTCTACCCTCCATTGCGGCAGCCCCCCGCCCCCCGCCCCTCGCCCCCCTCCCCTCTCCCCCACGTCCCCCGCCCCTCGCTTTGTCTCAGTCGTGTACGGGGCATTCGCGGGTACTGTACGCGGTGACTCATCCCGAGCCACACAAGTTCTAGCAAGCGCGTCGTATCCCAAGCAAGACGTCATATCCCAAGTCATTTTATGCTCGAAAAAACACGACGTATACCAAATTCGACCTATTCCAAAGTGGTTGTATACCGAGGTTCCACTGTATATAAAAGGGAAATTTGTGATTATGTGTGTCTGTTCAAAATGTTTAGCGTACTTCCCGACATGCAACAAACTTGAAATTTGCCATGTGGGTACTTTCCAGACTGTACACCATGCAAATATTATAAAAATACACTTTTGCATTTTTTTTTGGGGGGGGGGGGCGCAATAATGGATATATTTTGCACACAAGTGAGCAGTGACGTCACAGATCTGTCATGTCACCCGCATGTGGCAGTGTGACGCAGTGTGCCTGCTGACGTCACGCATCTCCCCCCAACCCTCGGCCGTGTATCCCGCACAAATGCGCGGCTGGGGGGGGGGAATAGGTTACAAACTTTTACTGGTAGGAACGAAGTGGACCAGCCACCAATAGATTATATCGTCCGTCCGTTTGTCCGTTTGTCCGTCCGTCTGTCCGCCCGTCCATCCATGTAGCAACATCGCCCCCTACTGCAAACACTTGGCATGACCCTACAAAAACCGAGACCTAGGCCTGAAACTCTCCCTTCGTATCGTACCCCCGCGTGTGTGAAAGGTGGTTAATGTTTAACAATGTTACATTCCCTGATGTTTTTAAATAGCAAAATTTACATTTAAAGCTTTTACATAAATAATTAAAACATTTATATTAACAATTAACTCACGGCGGCCTAAGGCCTACAGCTAGGCCTAAAGCCTAGACTTAGGCCTGAAACTTTCCCTTCGTATCGTACCCCCGCGTGTGTGAAAGGTGGTTAATGTTTAACAATGTTACATTCCCTGATGTTTTTAAATAGCAACATTTACATTTAAAGCTTTTACATAAATAATTAAAACATTTATATTAACAATTAACTCACGGCGGCCTAAGGCCTACAGCTAGGCCTAAAGTCTAGACCTAGGCCTCAAATGCTCCCTTCGTATCGTACCCCCGCGTGTGTGAAAGGGAGTAAATGTTTCACAATGTTACATTCCCTGATGTTTTTAAATAGCAACATTTACATTTAAAGCTTTTACATTAAAAACAACTCCCTACCCCCCCCTCGTCGGCGGCTCTCCAGCCGAGCCAGGCCTGGGAATCTCTCCCCCGCTTGGGGTGTATTGGGCGGGGCTACAGCAGCAGGGGGTTGGGCTACGCGGGGCTGGGCGGGGCAACGGCGGCAGGGGGCGTGGGCACGAGGTGGAGGGCGGGGCTACGCGGGGTTGGGGCGGGGTTACGGCGGTAAGGGGCGGGGCAACGAGCTGGGGGCGGGGACACCGAGATGGGGCGGGGCCACGGGTGACCGGGGCGGGGTTACGCGGGTGGAGGGCGGGGCCACGGGGCATCCACTTATTGGCGGCCATTTTTTGCCATTTAATTTTATTATAGCCATTCAATTGTTCGGTCCTACCAGCCCACCCCACAGGGTCCTGTTAATTTGCCATGTCGCTAGCTCCCATACTTTACACAATATAAAACGTGTAAAAATTGACTTTTGTATTTTGGGGGGGGGGGGGGAATGACCATGAAGTGTGTGGCGAGAATCGATATCTGGTGAGCGTTCGTTTGTGGTATCGATTAAATGGGAATAGGCCGATTTTAAAGAAATCTACAATCTTTGATTCCTTTGCGCGATCTAAAGAATCGAATCTTGCCGCGCAAGCGTAAGTTTTTTTTCCACCGCGCGTTGGGTTTTATTTTAATTTTTATTAATGAGTTAATGATCTAAGTTTATTTTTCATTTCTATATGTTGTGTTTTTAGGGTTGAGAAGTTTTTCAATATATTTTCCCCCCGGGCAACGCCGGGTGCTTCCCGCTTGTCTTCTTCTTCTATCCACATCTATATTAAAGTCAAAAATTGTGGGTTTGTATGTGGTCGTTCTCCAACGCTGGGGTTTACATAAAAAATATAGTTTTATTAGCGATTGTGCAATTTTTGTGCGCTTGCATGTTATTTATTTATTTATGACGCCTTCGGTGGGAGTGAGAAGGACATTTCCTTTCGCGTTAAAATGCGATAAAAAATACACTAAACGCTGAGCTTAAATCTTCACTGTGTGATGTCCCCCCAACCCCGATGCGTGTAGTTATTACTACTATATACAGTCGCTACATGCTACCACTATAGGCCGTAGATATTACTGCAGAGCGGCCGGGGAGATCGTGGCTGGGGGGGAGGGGTCAGGGGTAGCAGCCCAGCCTGCCAAGGTGCCACCTCGGCCGGCTGGACAATCTAGGCGAGGCCGGAAGCTCTGCACAAGACTAGGCCTCACCACGGCACTCTGACAGGTGAGTACTTTGTGCTATACAGTCGATAAATACTGATATAGAGTCAGCATGTACGACTGTAGTGATGGCAGGTACCACCACAGTCGGTATGCACTGATGTAATCATAGCAGGTACCACCACATTCAGTACGCACTGCTGTTAGATTTTTAAAAGTAGTTTGGAAATATTTTAAGACCTGGGCAACGCTGGGTGCTTACCGCTAGTTGTTAATAAAAGACACAAGTCTACAGTCGTCGTGGAAGTGCTTTATTACACATGCTTAGCAAGAGAACGTCGGAAACATGTCTCACTTCACAGCGTCCGAACTTGATAACTGTTGTGAAATGTTGCACGAATTGCTGTGCTTGAGTTTACATTCAAGTAGATAATTAGAAGCAGGGCTTCTGATGGTGAAACGGTTTATTGCAGTGATAAAAGGATATATGAGGTAAAAAACAATTTCAATGTCGTGGTCGCCGATTGCAACATTTAATATACTTAATACGGCACTCACATTGGTGTTGATAAAGTATTCCAATAATCTCAAACACTCATTCTAGGATGTAGTAACCACACCTCCGCATCTGCACCAAAATCAACTCCGGGTCGTTTGCAACGTGACTACATTTTTGCTATATTTCAAATGTTATAGCCAAAGAATATGCATCAGTTGCTCGGTGACAATCAGCTAATAATCATCTCCATATATATAAAAGGCAAAGTTGTGAATGTGTGTCTGTTCAAAATGTTTAGCGCACTTCCCGACATGCACCAAACTGGAAATTTGCCATGTGGGTACTTTCCAGACTGTACACCATGCAAAAATTATAAAAATACACTTTTTTTTGGGGGGGGGGGGGGGGGAGCTCAATAATGCATATATTTTTTGCACAGCAAGTGAACTGTGACGTCAAATCTGTCACGTGACCCGCACATGTGCAAGCGAACCCGGCGACCAGAGTTCGATTCCCGCTCACGGCCACCACCAGTGATGATTATTTCAACCGCTCCTGGGCCTCCCCTAGGTCGACTCAGCCTCAAACGAGTAACTGCTGTGGTGTGTGAACATTGTCACTGGGGATCCAAAGGCGGCCGGGCGTGACGCTGTCACCCACCCCCTCGTATGATATAAATTGGAATTCAATTATTTGCAGCATACCAGTCGACATTACTTAAAATTTTTATTCAGTGTATACAACCAGCTATGATATGTATCAGATACACAGACAAACTTGAATAAGAAATTAAAAGTAGGCAAAGTAGTATGGAAAGATGCACGTTCAGAATGACACTGAACTACATAGAATAGCACGTGGATCAGAGAACATGAATCAGATATAATATTGGATGAATGACTGATGGACAAGACTCGTGAACAGAGTGGCAAGCTCGTGGTTAAAACGTGCCTGAGAATTTGACTACTGCAGATATTTATCAGGTGAATTTATTCTATTATTTCGTATGGCAATATGTTCAGGAGCTAAATGCCAACATCGATGTCTGCTAGCCACGAGAGGGCTTCAGGATAGTTCGTGTAGTTTTGCTAGTCCATTGGAGGAATGCAGGCTATTGTGGTTAACGGTAAGGCCCATAGTCTTAATCTTCCATTTATGAAGGAGATGCGTATATCGGCCTGTTGATGTTCTGATTCAGTTGATGGTACACCATCATGGACTGTCAAAGCCAGGAGGTGCGATGTTTGGGTCTCGAATGAGGTCTTTATTCTGGACATCTGCGTTGGTCCACTCTGTTCGCCAGCGTTCTTCTGATAAGGTGATGACATGAGTTAATGTGCAAGCGTGAGATTGGTTGTGCTTTCAAAGGACCATAAAATGATGGTGACACATTAGGAAGCCTTCATACAGCTAGCGATACACCATGACCAATAATATACATTTATAAAATCATCTATTTGAAATCACCATTATATATAATTAGTTACCAAAGATATACATTTATTTAGTATTTATTATGTACTACATATACAGGCATGTACACCTTACATACACGACACTAAAGCTAAGTTAGTTAAGTGTGTGAGTTTTTACGCAATTTTCACCGATTAGTCCTTATAAAAAAATACAAATTAGCTGACTGGGGCCAGATGCATCTATTATGCATTCTGGGGTCACCTCAGGCACCTGTGTATTTGTCTTGATTCGGAATATGTATTGCAATTTACAATGCATAGACAAAATAAAGTAGAGAAAAATATTGATTTGTAAATATGAGCAAGAAAATGAATTAAACCCCAGTGGAAGGGTGGACTGATAATGATATTATAACAATAACATAAGCGGCCTAATAGTTGACCCTGATGTGCAGGCCATGCTCTGTAAAGTTGCTGGGTTGTTGCATGATTGAACATTTTTAGTGATTATTTTTTTCCTGCACTTCTGCCACAATGCTTCCAGGAGAAATCTTATTCTGTTTGAGATGGTGAGGACCAAAGGACATGGGCAGCAGCTCTTCCACCGAGTACGCACGATATGAAGAGCCATGTCGAGCTGTCAAGAAAACCGTCCATTCTGTGCCAAACTGTGCATAATGAAAAATAAGGGTGGAAAATTAATTGAACAAACTAACATTGAATACCTTTGCAAAGTTCAATATTGAAACACACAACAAGAGCGATTGTGTTAGATACTCTCCTTATCGTACTGCCATATTTGGGAATAAATCTTTGCTATCATTTTGAGGTATCGCAGTGGCTTAGGGGGCAAATGCCAGCACCACTGAGAGCCTGGGTTTGAATCTGAGTTTTGGAAATCTGTGATTAAACTGGGTTCTAGAGTGTAGTAAGTTCGTGGTCTCGGACCAGTCACAATGAAGGATATTTTCATCACCTAGCGCCCTAGCCAGTGAACTGGCCAAGCTCTCAAGACGAATGGATATTCGGACTACACAATCCGTAAAGCTATCATCCTAACCGTTGGGAAAGAACCATCTGAGGAGCCAATCAAAACCATCATCTTGCCATACATAGCAGGGGTCACTGAAAAGATTTCCAAAATCATGAGCAAACACAAGATCCAGGTTCGATTTAACACAGTACATAAAATTCGTGATCTGATCCCATCTTTGAAGGATGTGATCCCTGACATACAATACCCCGGCGTCTACAAACTAAGCTGCATCTGCGGCAGTAGTTACATTGGGGAAACGAAGCAACATGTCTCGGACCGTGTTCGTGAACATAAGGCAGATCTGAAACACGGTAGGACCAATACCGTAGCCATCCATATATATGGACACAGACACAATTTCAACCGAGAAGATGGGTATAAACTGAGCAATCATTGGAAGGACGTTATCAACCAGTTTAAGTCATAACTGGCTTTGATGTTCCCATCCTACCACCTTCGATGTTAGTTGTGCTTTACGCCCATTTCAAACTCGCGCGTTCACAGAATTCACGCAACACAGCCACATCGCGCGCCGACTACCCCTTGGTTGCATGCTTTACGATGTTCATGCTAATCTCATTAACATGCAAATTTTCACCTGACAGCCCTTTGATTGGTGGAAAACCAACCACTGTCGGGTTGACTCCCACCACTTGCATTAACATTGGCTGCTGACATTTGGGCTACGCCCATTTCAAACCCTGAAAAATAGTTTGCCTTTGGAAGCTGACACCCCTTTTCCTGAAGATGACCACTTGTGTTGCGATCGAAACGTCGTCATTTTTGGTTATTCTTGGTTCTTTCGATAAAGTCACGTAGAAACGTCGTGAGAATTGTATTTTATTATGTTTGATTTTATTATTTTATTATTTCCCTTCTACGTGACTTTACCGAAAGATCCAAAGAATACGATCATGTGTATTTATATATATTCAATCACGACTTTCTAGGGCATATAACAGGTGTGTCCTTAATATGAATAAAGAGGCAATTTTAAGTGACTACAACTATTTCATGGGGGGGCTCTTGCCTATGACAACAGACACTCTAAAAATATGTCTAACAGGTCTGACTCGGCTGATGCGACTCAAAAAATTAAGGCTGGTCTCTTAATTTGCTTGCTTAAATAAATGCTGCTACTGGGCATTGCTCCAGAATGCCCATAGGCTGGAATGGGATTCTAATGTTAATGAGAATCAAAGTCCTGTTTGACTATGGCAAGTTTGTAATTTCAGAAATAGTTCTGCGACATATTCCAGGGCCACTTTATTGGGTGGTGCACTAACTGTGAGACTTCCAAAGATAAATTCCTTCATCTTATGACATAACACTAATATAAAAATTGGAATAGTTGTACTGCCTTCAAAATCCTGCAAACACTAAGCATCTTAGCTGCACTTACAGGTACCAAAGGAAAATATTTTGACCTGTTAATGCTGTTTCTAATTTAATCACGCGTGCGGGCGAGTGCCAATTACTGTTCGCGTTATTATTGGATAATACCAAGTTGCGTGTTAATGTGTGGCCCGCCAAAGCTATGTGAAGGTTCCCCACCCATTATCTCATCAAATCAGTTTTTTCAGCCACTTGGAATTAAAGTCTGGTCCTTCTTGACCCTCAGTAAGAAAAAGTGTTCCAGCATTGATATGGAGGATAACACGACAGGCCTCCAGCCAGCTCCGGGAGAAACGGCAGTCGTCATGAACCCACCTCTCGCATGACCTGCCTGCATGCTCCGCATGGTGAGATGAAGTCATCAGAAACGTCACTGCGGCAAACACATCCAGCACGACACACACAGCACGTCTACGTTAGCACTCTTTGTTAATCCACTGCTGGATGACGTCCTCCCCATGTGGTGCGGGTTGTGAGGATTATTTGACCATATTTCACTACGCTGGTCAGTCCGAATGGTTTTACGTTGGCAGCATAGATGTGAGAGCAATTGATTTTTCTCCACTAAACAATACACACTTTATAACCTAAGTTACATTTGTTTTGCATTATCCATGTTTTTTCCAAGCCCCCACCCCCCATTACCCACATGATTGAGAGTTGATTGTAATCTGCAGACAACTCTACAATTATCACACAAAATGAGGCTTGTGTGACCGGAGCAGCCCAGGTATTCTTGGAGGCCCGGTGCAGAATTCCACCATCTAGTGTTCAAACCTACATCCCAATTTCTTTAGACAAAAAAACACTTGTTTGATTTAAAAAAAAGCATTTAATTCAATACACATGTAAGTTAATAAAAATAATAACATTTGCAACAAACCAGGCCCATGGTAGGGCCCTCCCTCCTCTGGGTGGCCCTGTGTGTCATACATCACTCTGCTCACCTGGACGCTGCCACGGCTATGGCTTTGAAGCTGTGATGACCCTCGGAGACAGCTTTAAAAATAGCTGTTCGCTCAGCACAAATTCCAAGGTTGTAGCACGCATTCTCCACATTACAGCCTTGGCGTCATGCGACAGTAGAAGATTGTCACGATGCATGTGTAAGGTGTTCGGGTAAAGGGGTCACAAATGCATGGAGTGACATAAAAAAACAAGTTAGACAGGTCCCTGCGGGGTGGGCTGGTAGGGACGAATAACCAAAGAATATAAACATGTATTATTACACTTGTTTAGCCAGGAAACCTCACTGAGTGTAAAGGTTTTTGTAGTGTCCTGCCAAGTGTTTGCAGTAGGGGGCGATGTTGCTACACCTAATCGGACGATACGAAGGGAGAGTTTGAGGCCTAGTGCTAGGCTTTAGGCCTAGCTGTAGGCTTGAGGCCGCTGTGAGTTAATTTTTAATTTAAATGCTTTAATTATTAATGTAAAAGCTTTAAATGTAAATGTTTCTATTTAAAAACATCAGGGAATGTAACATTGTTAAACATTAACTCCCTTTCACACACGCGGGGGTACGATACGAAGGGAGAGTTTGAGGCCTAGTTCTAGGCTTTAGGACTAGCTGTAGGCTTGAGGCCGCTGTGAGTTAATTTTTAATTTAAATGTTTTAATTATTAATGTAAAAGCTTTAAATGTAAATGTTTCTATTTAAAACATCAGGGAATGTAACATTGTTAAACATTAACTCCCTTTCACACACGCGGGGGTACGATACGAAGGGAGAGTTTGAGGCCTAGTTCTAGGCTTTAGGCCTAGCTGTAGGCTTTAGGCCGCTGTGAGTTAATTTTTAATTAAATGTTTTAATTATTAATGTAAAAGCTTTAAATGTAAATATTTCTATTTAAAAACATCAGGGAATGTAACATTGTTAAACATTAACTCCCTTTCACACACGCGGGGGTACGATACGAAGGGAGAGTTTGAGGCCTAGTTCTAGGCTTTAGGCCGCTGTGAGTTAATTTTTTTATTTTAATGTTTTAATTAAAAGCTATCTCAGGGAATTATAAGGGAATGTTACACTTGTTTAGCCAGGAAAGCGTCACTGAGTCTAAAGGTTTTTTTTAATTAAAAGCTATCTCAGGAAATTATAAAATAAAGGAATGTTACACTTGTTTAGCCAGGAAAGCGTCACTGAGTCTAAAGGTTTTTGTAGGGTCCTACCAAGTGTTTGCAGTAGGGGGCGATGTTGCTACACCTAATCGGACATCGGACGGACGATATAATCTATTGTAGGCTGGTTCACTTCGTTCCTACTAGTATAAGACGTCAACTCATGTCAACCCGAACTACCAACTGAATCAACCAGCTCAGTTTCTCAACGGTCGTGACCGGTTTACAATCCGACGTTTTTTGCCAGTTTATATCCTGGTTGGGGGTTGACTCAGTTCATCATCCCTCCAAGGTCGGGAATTGAATACCAATTTGTGAGGAAGTCAACAGTGATTGTCCCATGAATCACCTCGCCCCTGCCATATGAATGTGGAATTATACCTCTGGCTCAGTGCTGCAAACAGGATATGATCACCACTTCAATGTACATTTGACCGAGGGAATCACTGATTATGATTGACTGCCAATAATCCAGGGCTGTGAAGTTTTGACAACTCCCATGGCTGAGATTCACCAGTGGACACTACTATGGGCACCAATCAGTAAATCTCACTCAATTATTTTGTGGAGCCAAAGTGATGCAAGGGGTGTGGTGAAGACCTTTGGACAAGCTTGCATGTGAGTGAGGCCAGTGGCATAGCGTGAATGGCAATGGACCCTGGTGCAAGGAATACATTGGAGCTCACTATGCAATGGTCCCCTCTCTTTGTAGCCTGGTGCCTGGGACCCTCGATCGCGGGTCGTAGCTATGGAGTTGCTGGCTGTGCAAATTATCTTCAAACTGGCCAGTTCTGTACATCGCTGTGGTGATCCATGACAATTCCTGTTTACTTTGCGTCCACTTCCCAGCGTCATGTGGCCCTGATAATCATTCGAACACAAACTAAGGATAGTTTCGTGGACAAAATTTTTAAGGGAACAAAAATACATTGGGAAGTCGATCCACAGTTCCTGTACAATAATTGTTTCTTTTAAATTAGGTCACCATTCACCCCCATAGTGTGATACATTTGTTTATGATTTCGGGGTCACATTTCGGTTCAATAAATATTTTTTGTTATTTTTTTTGCCAACTCCTTTGTATTGTTTATATTTTTCACTCACATTTGTAGTTTTGTTTACTCCGTTATCTATAACGTAGAAGCATATAATTTCCATGAATAATAATCAATATTCTCACATGGGCAATTCAATGCATGCAACATTGGCGAAATAATAAATCAAAAATTAAAAATATAAACACGTAGAATCCTGCGTCAGTTCATAGCTGCATGAGGACAGCCCCACACCATGCACGTTATGGGGGTTATTTGACCATACTTCACCACACTGGTCAGTGCAGTTGGTGAATGCGAGGAGCGTAGATGTGAGAGCATGTAAGTAGTGTACAATTCATTTTGTTGCTCACAACGGAGCAACCACTGCATGCCCATTTACTATAGTATATCATATAAAGTATATACCAGTTTTTAAATAGGAGGCAGGAAATTATAGTCTTGATATTTCGGTTTTAATACAGTATTTTAATAAGTGTTGAAAGCACATGAGCGGTATTTGTCTGAACAAGCAAATTCCAGACCGGATTAGACCTTGTGATTATCATCAGGAGAGTCAGGTTTCTTAAACAAATGGTGCTAGGTTCCCAATGTTATTGGCAAATGAACTTGCCTAGAAAGCCAATAGGCTAATGGAGAAAACATTTTTTTATTTATACGTGGAGACACAAAACGGAGTTCTGATTACTCAAGCTTTTATCAATAATGCTCCACAGAAAAGAATAAAAATGAGTTTGTGTACAGTGTTTACATAATTATTGCACACAATCAGTCTCAGCTGCAGCTGTTACCAGTGTAGATGGTTCCATCGGTGGTGAGCAGAGCAGCGCCTACTGGGAATTTGCTGTAAGGGCTGTACGATTTCTTGAGCATATCACGGCTGAGTTGTATGAGCTCCAACACCCACTTATTTCCTTCTGAATCTGCTCAAAACACATTAACACCGCAGGTTAAGGATCATGGAGACATGAAACTATAATTGCTTAAACACTGCCTCCAGATGCACGATTTACACAAGATAAGAAGTTGTACTTTTCAACTGTAGACGCATGCCCTTTTTTACTTTTCACAATATCAATCGGTTTAACTTAATCATTTTGACCAAACTGTATTTTTTTCAGATAAATTATACGTTACATTTAATTAATTTGCAAGAACTACACAATATTTTTCGCACCTCCGATTAGTACCTTGGCTATGTACAGCACAAAAGAAGTTCACGCCTTTTGGTGTCCTCTGGTCTAGCACCGTTTTGAGACGAGGCTCAAAAGAAAGCTGTCTCTGGTGTGGACAAATCAGTTTCAAAGACATTACATATATTTGTTTGCATTCTGACCACAAGTATTGTGGTTAATGCAGACATGATTCCTTGTGCAAGGTTTCAGTTTGGTGTTTTAACATCTTAACACCTGTTTTATTGCCAGAAAAAAGGGGAAACCTATTCTCGAATTTCTTACTCATTTAGCCATTGTGTAATGCCTCTTACGAAACAATTACAAAACTAGTCATTGTTTAATGTGGTCATCAGTGTTGCCAACTCGGTGATTTTGTCAATAGATGTCACAACTTTTTGAGTTTCCCGAACCACAACATGTTATCAAAGTGACCTGCGACAACTATGTAGATGTGGCACATTAGGAATGGATCACTCTTTTACGTGTGTCCTTGTGCAGCAAGGGAGTAAAGTGTGGTTCTGTGAAGGTCCTGATGTGCTGTGCAGTGCATCAACGCGTGTGTGTACAGCAGCATGTAATGTCTGAGTCGGGCCTGTAGGTGGCTGGCTGGGTTAATGAATAACCGCACGTGTAAACCAGCCACGTGGTTAATGGCGTCTCGGAAGATTTGCTGCGTGTAACACGCGCTGTTGCATTTTACAGGTAAAGGACCCAAATGTTGTTTTGATCGTTATATAAATGTTCTAGACTTGTTCTAGACTTGTTTTAGACTTTAAGCTTGGCTTTGAATTGTTCGTTTGTGATATATGCAATTAGAGGCGTTTTAGCACTGTGCATTGTAAAGGGATGACGCACTGTAATTAGTTATTGTCATTGTAATTCTCTAACTCTAATACTGTTTAGTCTATAACCATGCCCATGTACCCAGAGTATGACTACTTGCAATGCTATTGAGCATAGAACACATGTAAAGTAGTAAGCTGTACAATGGTGATATACAGTACGTATGCTGTACATATACAGTACATATAATGGGTGTAAGATACCGATAGTAGTGGATGATATAGATAGACATACAGCTTAGAATTAAAGTAATATTCGAATAGTGATGTGGAAATGTGATTGTCAAAGACAAAGATGGTTTATCAGCAGTAGAATTGGGTTTAAGAGAAAGGGTTAATGAATAACCGCACGTGTAAACCAGCCACATGGTTAATGGCGTCTCGGAAGATTTGCTGCGTGTAACACGTGCTGTTGCATTTTACAGGGTGACGGTGCTGTTCTTCCAAGATTCATATGAACCACAATAAATAAATGTGCTTGCCCTCGATTTGGAGCACCTGCCCACGTCCTTCATCTCGAGTGTGCAACATAGACTTTCTGGGAAGAAGACAGCAGATGTGGGTGGATTTCCACGTAAGGGATCCTGTATCAGTTTTTGGAAAATTGTCATGACATTTTTATGACCTCAGGTCTCTCTTTTGACAGAGTGATATATTTGTTTTGGTTGGTTTGACTTTTTTTCCACTTTAAAGAGTTGGCAACACTTGCAGTCATCACATGCAGGCTAACTTACAGGCTGCAACTTCAATGTAGTTAAAACTTCCTCCTCAAGATTAAAAACATAACTCAGGTACGTTCACAGCAATTTGTCCATCCACCACTGGATGAGTGCATCTCCCCCCACCCGACCGTGCATGTTGTGGTTTAATTTGTCGATACTGAACTAATGGCAAGTGTGGGTTGGTGAAGGTAGGGAGCATGTACAGTACAACTCACCCGTAGTTGAGTGAAGTTACAAGACTGAATCAAGTTACAACATTTCGTTGAGGTGGCGTCTTATCAGTCTGAAATTGCTTTAGCCAGAGCCACAAGCTCACACTGCTAACTGGTGAACCACGCAACAGATGGAGTGTTGCAAGAGACTGTTGCGACTTAAATTACAAACACATGATTGACAACACATGGCAGTTGCTTACATTGATTTCATATACAAATGTAGTCACTGGTTTGTATTGTTCGTTTATCAGTCCACTTGTCCTGGTGAGGGTTCGCAGCGGCAGCATGTAGAGTAGTGGTGGTCCAGACCTCCCTGTCCCTGGCAACAGACTCTAGCTCTTCCTGGAGAATTCCCAGGTGTTCCCAGGTCAGCTGATCAACCGCCAGAGTGTCCTGGGCCGGCCCCAGGATCTTCGCCCAGTGGCACGTGCCCGGTAGAATTCCAGTCTATCGGGAGGCATCCTTACCACGTGCCCGAACCACCTCAACTGGCTCTTCTCGATTGGGAAGAGCAGCGGCTCGACTCTTGAGGCTCCTCACCCGATCACGGAGAGTGAGCCCGGCGATGTAACAATGTGGTTACGCAGCCCTTTCGAAGGATGCATAACGCATTGTGTTTAAATCGGATTTGTGGGGTTTGCGACTCCCCTTTAAGTTTCGATTTAAAGCTTTCGTGACTGCAGGGATTCATCTTCTTGGTTCTTTCGGTAAAGTCACGTAGAAGGGAAATAATAAAATAATACAAATAAAACATAATAAAATAATTCTCACGACGTTGCGGCCACAACGCAAGCAGCTGTCCTCAGGTGAAGACCAGGTCTGTCGGGGAGACAGCGTCAGACGCTACCGAAAGAACCAAGAAGATGAATACTTGCAGTCACGAAAGCTTTAAATCGAAAAGGATTAAACCAGACTGGTGGCATGAATTGTGTATGGGCTTCTGTCTGTGGGTCTGTTGTAAATCTCTTTATGTGTTTATGGATCTGAAAGCTTTTACAGACTTACTGTGGGTGCATTTTTTGCACTGCCACTTAAATTAAGGTAAAATCCGGACTTTAACCTGGTCGTTTAAAATACTTGACAGGATGTTTGACAGATTCCACTAGGTTGAGATTTTTTAAAAGTAAAATAGTCCCATTCTCAGAGGTGAATGAGATATTTTTCTACCTACGTGACTTTACCGAAAGAACCAAAAAGTAGGGAATAAGATGTTTAATATATAGCAATTACACCAAAATGTTTACTTAACTTTCGTGACTGCAGGAATTAATATTCTTTGGTTCTTTCGGTAAAATAATAAAATAATAAAGTGAATACAAATAAAAAATTAGAAAAAAATAAGAATAAAAAATAAAAAAAACATTAATGTAGACTGTTCATTCTAGATTTTAAGTTTTCGTGACTGCAAGGATCCACACTCTTTGGTTCTTTCGGTAAAGTCACGTAGGTGAAAAAAAAAATCACGACGTTTCGATTGCAACAAGCAATCATCATCAGGTGTGACAACCACAGCAAGAGAATGTTTATTTTTATTTTTTCACCTACGTGACTTTACCGAAAGAACCAAAGAGTATGTAGACTGTTGCCTGGTTCTTAACCTGAGTGAGTGTACTGGCAGTCTATAATGTAGACTCTAACCTGGTTATTAAGCTGAGTGAGTGTACAGGCAGTCTATAATGTAGACTGTAGCCTGGTTCTTAACATGAGTGAGTGTACTTGCAGTCTATAATGTAGACTGTAGTAATGGTTATTAAGCTGAGTGAGTGTACTGACAGTCTATAGTGTAGACTGTAGCCTGGTTATTAAGCTGGGTGAGTGTACTGTCAGTCTATAATGTAGACTGTCGCCTGGTTCTTAACCTGAGTGAGTGTACTTGCAGTCTATAATGTAGACTTATTATTGGTGCTTTCAGTAATAAAACAAATAATAAAAAAGATTTAAAAAATAACAAAAACCACGACGTTTCGATCACAACACATCTACTACGCCTCTATATAAGGAACGAAACAGTAAGACTTCTCCACAAATCTAGCTGTCGCCTGAAGCTAGTTGTAATTACTGGTGAAACGTCGTACTCAGAATGTAGATGTTGTGGCTTGGCTCTCCAACACACCGGTGTGCTGTACTAGTGACGAATTGGCATGTTCTGTTTACGTGACTACCCTTACTAGTTGGCTGTGTCGGGTGGTGGCGGGTTTTAACGACACATTTATATATTTACGCGATCTAACCCAAAAAATCTTTATTATGGATACATTGAGCTCTATGGTGTAGCGTTTGATGAAGGAATTATTCTGGGATGGATGGTGGTGGGAATCAGGTTTTAGGTAGGCATCAGTATGGGTTACTTTCCTGTAGACAGAATGGCTCATTTAGCCATCTGGTCTCTTTGATTAGGACATCCAGGAAAGGTAGCATGCCATCCTCTTCAACCTCCATACACCAGCCATCAAATTCCCTGTACAAGAATACGGGTAAACCGTACGGGTTGACACGGTATGCATCCTGGACCTTACAAAGTCCACCAAACTTGGCTCAACATGTGTCGCCAAGTAAACGTGCAATATAGGGTATAACCAGGTACACAAAGTACACTGCAAACAGTATATTCTGATCATGTCAACTTACAGTCCTTTGTCAATCCACTGCTGGATAACGGCTTCCACTCCCGTTTCGTTCACGGGGGTTGATTGACCATACTTCACCACGCTGGTCAATGTGGGTTGGTGACCGGAGGGTTACGGGAGAGGCAGGACCGGTTCCGATATTACTTAGCGCCGATGTGAGCCGGTGGCCAGTAAATGGACTCAAGTTTCTGGGTATATCGTGTTCTGACTACTGCACTACCCCTCCACCGTGCTATGGACACATCATATTGATGAGCCAAATAATTGTGTTCACATTCAATACCCCCCCATACAACGGGCATTCACATCGTATCAACACCACGTCAATAAATGTTGCGTATACAGCATAGAAACACGAAGGCAGAGTTACACATTGTTTCCGTGAAAAATAGTATGCAGCATTACACACACACTCTCTCTTATGAACAATACTGTGTTTCAACACGCAAAAACATGTTGGTCAAATTCCACACACGACAATCCAATGTCAGGTACAAACTTGCATCTGCCGTCGGCCGGCAAACTCAATTTATTGGCTCACTTCAAACATGCACCGCATGTTACGTTCGCAACTTATCAACCCAATGCGATGTGAAAACACACAGCACCACACACAACAACACACACGACAGTCAACAGAATGCGATGTATCTATGCGAGTATAAACACTTCGACAATGGCAACACTCACGTTCCATCGAGATGTCAGCAAAACGTGTCCGACCGATTAAGTCAGGCGGACCTGCTGTCACGCGCTTTATATACCCAGGAACGAGTTTGCCCAGGAAGGGGGCTTTGCTGACTTTGCTCACTCATTTACGACCACAGAAAGGAATATAATTAAATAAGCGTGAGCCCGTGCGTGCAGACAGAGAGGTTCAGAGCTGATGACCGTCGTTTTTTGGCTGGTGGTGGGTTGACACGAGAGCTGCTTGGGCGTTGCCAACACTTCTGGATGGACTGGGAATCTGGCGCAAATTGGCATCGATCTCTCTCGGTGGCTTTCGAAAGCAATGCCCGGGGGTGTGGGGATGGGAGGTGATTTTAATTGGACACGTTTCGTAAATGGACCCGTGATGTAGCTAGCTGGTCACCCGAGA